AGCATCCTGGATATATGAAATCAAATGAATGAAAGAGCAAAACTTCCTTTTTACAATTACTGGTACAGTTTAGCTGTAAGATCCAGAATTTAATTGTAAACAGCCTTAGTGTATTTAGTCAGGGTTATCTATGTATGTGTATGAATATATATGGAGAGAGAGAGAGAGATATTTATTATAAGGAATTGGCTTACATGATTATGGAGGTTGAGAAGTCCAGACTCAGGAGAGCCATCTTTTATTCTATTTAGACATCAACAGATTGGATGAGGCCTGCCCACACTGGGGAGTATAAGATTCAAATGGTAATTTCATCTAGAAACACCCTTATAGACACACTCAGAACGAATATTTAACCAAATATCTAAGCTCCTTGTGGTCCAGTCAAATTAACACATGAAATTAACCATCAAACTCAAACACCAGCTCTTCCATGCTAGAGCTTTCACCATAGCTTACTTAGCCTCAAATCTCAAGGTCAAGGAAATAATCACTGGACAAGATGTTAAAGTACTCTCATGTGTAAAGGGACCAACTCACAAGTAGTCAACAACTGAAATATCCAGTATAGGTCTATGAAGACATGTGACTTTTCAAAGTCTTGCTTTGCTTTAGCCCAACCCTTGTTCACTGTGGATAGATAATGTATCAACAAAGCCAGCCAATACTCAATTGACATGGTATAGGGTTTTGGATAGTATCCTCCAATTACCTCCCAGTGAATTCTGGTTATAAAATAGGACCCCATGAATATTATATATGATTTTGGAGTACAATCAGTTGATATCAGCTAGGTCTCACATTTCTTCTAGTTCCATTATCTTCCTCACCCCCCATCCCAGGATCCTTTTGTTCTCTGTTAATTGGGATAATGTAACTCCAGCATGCCTTACGAACCCTAAGATGTCATGCTCTCTCTTCTCAGTGACTCCTAAATCTCTTTCTCCATCTTGGACACCAATTCTTAGGTCAAGACTTTATAACCAATATATGACTCTTTCTTATGCACTTCCTATGCATCATGTAGGCAATAAAGTGATTCTCAGTGAAACTGAATTCTTGAGTAGGAAGCTTATAAAGCTGTCATATGATATTCCAGGCAGTTCCAAAACACAAAGGTCACAAACTGCCCAAAACATTGCCGTGCTTTGGAGAGTTGAGGTTACTTTGGAGACAATTGTATTTTTGTTCTGGGTAAAAGTAAGCATAAGTTGGGAGCACTTTTAGATACTGGGATGTACACCATAATGCAAACCGTAGTGCAAACTCCTAGTGATCCCCTCTTCTTGAGTGTGGGCAGAGCCTAGGACTTGCTTCTAACCACTAGAATATGGTCAAAGTGAGGGAATGATACTTCCCATGATTCATTTCATTATATACAAGTCAATTTTAGCAGAGGCTACTGGCCTTGAAGAAATAACCGCCATGTTGTAGATTGCCTATGGAGAAGGCCACATGGCAGGGAACTACAAGTGGCCTTGTAGGACTAGAGGGGACTCCCAGCCAGTAGCCAGTAAAAAATGGACCTTCAGTCCTACAAGCACAAGAAAATGAATTCTGCCAACAACCTGAGAGAGCCTTGAAGTAAATTCTTACTCACTCAATCCTCCAGACGAAGATGTAGCCCTGCCCGTGGGCTTGATTACACCCTTGTGAGATTACCTTGATTACATCTTGTGAGATCCTTATGAAAAAACCCAGCTAAGCCATGCTGGACTCCTAGCACTGAAAGCTGTGAGATAGTAAATGTGTGTTGTCTTAAGCTGCTAAATTTATGGTAATTTTGTCATTCTTCCATAGAAAACCAATACACATATTTACCTCTAGAGAAATTGCCTGTTTTATGATCCTGGGAAGATTAAAAACAACAACAACAACAACAAACAAACTTCATTGACGTATAAATTCATAGAGAAAAATGTGCATATCATCAAAATACAGCTCAGTGAAGTTATACACACTGAACACACCAGCACCCAAATCCAGAAACGGAACATGACCAGCCCTCCTAAGTCCCTTAAGGGAGATCTGAATGCCAGGAACTAACTGAATGCAGGTGTTTCAGATGGAGAAGTTAGGTGCTGTGTGTGTCCATGCTGATTGGGTAAAACTTTGAGTCACCTGTGTCTATGAAGTTTGTCTTTAGAGAAGGTTTTTTTTGTTTGGTTGGTTCATTTTTTTAAAATAGTGAGACTGTGCTGGATCCAAAAGTTGATATTTGTTTTTGGGAGATGTGTGTGTTTGAGGAGCACTGATTGGTGCTCAGAGTCTCTATGCTCTTCCTCCTTCTGTGTTACAGCTGCCATGCACTTTCTGTTTATTTGTTTATTTATTTACTTATTTTTATTGTGTTACATTAGTCACCATACAGTACCTCATTAGTTTTTTGATGTAGTGTTCCATGATTCATTGTGTATGACACCCAGTGCTCCATGCAATCTGTGCCCTCCTTAATACCCATCACCAGGCTCACCCATACCCCACCGCCTCCCTTCTAAACCCTCCGTGTGTTTCTCAGAGTCCATAGTAGTGATTATTCCACTGTCTTCTCCCAACAACCTTGCTAAAAGTATTGCCAGATACTCACTCTACAAGTGAGCTTCAGTTATCATTAGTGGTTAGATATGTTTAGTATGAATCTCAAAGTCAGTACTGATCTTCCCCTGGTACACGGAGATAGAGGTTACTGGTTGGTTTCAGCCGGAGTTCATTCTGACTGGTGGACACCCATACTGTATATGTTCAGTGTTTTGACTACCGGTCTCTTGTTCTAAACATACCTGGAATAAAATAATTTCAACCTGAATGAGTCTGTGGAGAGGATTTATTTCACTGGTTTTCAATAATGTTCTTTAGATTTCATAGAAGTGCTGTAGGAAGTGGTAGAGACAAGGAAGGTGAAATGGAAGGTGAAAGAGAATGTTGTAGAGAAGGAACACCACACTCCATCCAGCTTCAACTGCAATCATTTCAATTTGGATTCTTTTCAATGTTCGTTCTGGGTAACTTTTTACATGAAATGAAGGATCCTATTACTAAACAAAGGAAAAAAACACTTACATATTGCAACTACACCATTTTCCAAATTAAGAAGCTTACAAAAGCTTCTTAGCTTTTGGTGCCTTGGGTGCCTCAGTGGGTTAAGCCTCTGCCTTCAGCTCAGGTCATGATCTCAGGGTCCTGGGATCGAGTCCCTCATCGGGCTTTCTGCTCAGCACGGAGCCTGCTTCCCCCTCTCTCTGCCTGCCTCTCTGCCTACTTGTGATCTCTCTCTCTCTCTCTGTCAAATAAATAAGTAAAATATTTGAAAAAAAAAAAGGAGCTTACAAAGGTTAAGTGACTATAAGAAAATTATACAATTATACCCTTAGGAAGCCGCAAAACTTGGATATGAATTCAGGTTTTTGCATCTCAGGCTTTTCCTTTCAAGAGCTCCATCTTTGATGTCTGCAGATACAGGGTAAAGAACTCCTTCAGCCCAATATAAATATAACTTTGATACTTTCTTATTATGTCTCTTCATAAGTATGTACGCATATTTGAAAATTACTCATTTATAGTCACCCTTAATTCATGAAGAATTACAAATTCTTACAACAACAAATTAGGAATCTGTGGGAGGGAAAGAAAGACGGGCATAACGGCATGAAATACGCTACAAAGGTCTGGATGGTCGTAGAGGTAGGCTCTACATCGACTGCGAGCTTGGTAGAAGTCAGTGCAGAAGGAAACAACTATGCACAACCTCAGTTGAGTTTCTGGCATCTCGAAAATGCATGAAATCTAAAACTGGGGGAAAAACACTTTAAAAATCTGGACAAACAAAAGTAACTGCTCCAGGCTGTCTGTCAGCTCTTACTCCTCTTGTGCATAAGGCTTCCTTATGTCCCTTTGCTCTAACATACTCAGACTCCAAGTGCCTGAACATAATGTGGAGAGTTAAAATAGAGGAGTGCCTCAATTCCCGAAGTGCTTTACATCTGTCAGTTTCAGAGGAAACCGTGGTATTGCTTTAATGTGTGTGTGTGTGTGTCTATGTGTGTGCCCGCACACACTTTTATTAAACATATGCTCCCAGCCACATTCCACTTGGCAAGATCACAAGTACATAATAGCTACAAGCTGTAAAGAAAAAAATAAAAGAGAACTTAACCATTTTTTTTTAAATAAGATAAATAAGAGCTCCTCAGCTACTTTAAGCATTCATTTATGCATTCTCTGAGAGTGAACCCTAGCTTTTCTTCTGTCTCTGGGTCTCCACTTCTTCATTCCTGCCCAAGGATGAATATTGCAATGGTACATGATGCAAACATTGTCAATCTGTGTTTACATTTGTGTTTCCAACTGAATATGCTAATAGTGTTTAATCAGCAGTGATGTTGCTTTATATCAATGTTTTGTGCCACGTACAGCCTCAGTGATAATGTTGTGATAACCAGAATTTTCCCCACATCAAAACTTGGAGATGATCCCAGTTTTTTTGAACTGCCATTTGATTCCACAATATCATGAAATCCTTTAATCTTCCTCAGGATTATTTCTGTGTTTTCAGGAAGCATCACATAGCCCCTTTGTTTCATTAAGGGGTGGTGGGTGGGTGGGGGGAGGCTTGAGTCTGCTTGCCGCAGTTCAGAGGTTTTGGTATGCCAAGCAAGCTCCGGAGCTGTCCAGGAGAACCTGCGAAAGGAAGCTCCAAGGTTGGTGGTGGTGTGGAAGGAAATGGCTGCAGGCTGCTTGGTGTGGGGTTTGGGCATATTCTGTGGAATCCAGCAGCCCGATGGCTAGAAAAACAGAATTCAACAGCAGCGGAGTGTGGTGGAGGTGGGAAATGACACGCTTTTAGTCACGAATTTATAAAACATATTTCTAACCTGCAAATCATCTAGCTAGAGGAGGGTAGGGCCTGCACAAGACTTGATGAGCTTCTGACCCTAGGCAAAGGGGTACTCTGCAGATAAACTATGTCTTCTCTCTCTCTCTCTCTTTTTGGGTGGGGGCGCAAATATGTTTCCCTACTCATTCTGGGCCACCACAAAGACCAGATAGAAAGTGCAGAGACTTTTTATTTTTATTTTTATTTTTTTTTGCATCCTACTGCAAACCAGAAGAAGCACAGACTATTATTTAAGGTCTGTCAGTGAACACAGGAAAGCATTATACTCTTAAGGCAAATACATAACCCTTTCCTCTAAAAAAAGGGGGGGTAGGCAAGAATAGCAATCCCAAACTCCAAACTTTCTTTTTTACAATAGAAGTATTTCTTATTCTTTGTGTATGTTCAAAGTTGGGATTTTTTTTTTTTCCCCTAGTGAGTATGTGAGAACCCTGCTGGGCTTTTTTTTTTTTTTTTTTTTTGACAGAAACATGACATACATTTTAAGGAATACTGTCATCCAGAAAACAATCCACCCTTTGCATTTTAACCTTGTTAAATTGTATCCAGATTCTCTTTAGTGCTGTTTCTCTCCCAGGACATAAAACATTTTGGTTCTTAAACGCTTAAGAGAGGTACAGTGCTTGAGATGTACAGATAGCTTTCATTAGCACTAATGGGAGTTTTGCTTCTACACCAGGAGAGAACAGAGCCTGAAGATTTTAAATTATGCTTGATGCAGATCTTCCAGATGGAATAAATTACGTGGAATGCTTAGGGGGGAAAGGTCTAAATATCCCCTAAAGCCATAGTTTAATAGCAAAGCGATACTTCTGAGTAACGGAAGTGGAGTCAACAGTACTGGCTTTGTGCCTATCACCACGCTAAGTAGCTGATATTGACTCTTGAAAATTCTTTATTGGATTAGTATTGCACTTGAGTTCTATTATTTTTCCAAAGAACCTAAGAGATAGTTCTGTCTTGAATAGTCCACTAATGTGGAATTCAGGTTGGTGCAGTATCTTAAATTCAGTAAACTTCCTGATGGCAAGCCCTAATACCAAGATCTTTATTTTCGTTTCTTAATTACCCTTTCTGAAAATAGTGTTCCTTATCTCTTTCTTTCGGGTGCATATCTTTTATTTTCTGGTTTTAAAAATTTCTATATCTTATTTTGCTTTGAGAATTATTGCCCACATCTCCGAGATCACTGGAATTATTTCCTATGTTGTTCATTGTGACATATCTCCTGTCTTCTTATTTTAACACTTGCTACATTTTATTTTATTTGAGACTTTTTGCTTTGAAAACGATTGCCTGCTTCCTACTACCAAAATAACTGAAAAATTAGAGGAATTTTTTCTAAAGAGTTATTTCTTTTATTTCATCTTCTGGGACCATCTTCACTTGAAACGTTTCCTCTATCTACCAGTGGAAATCAAACACGATTATTAAGCAATACCGATTACTATTACAGGTAGGAAAAAGTTAGAGCAGAGGAGTGAGAGGAAGGCAAGATGCCACCAGGAAAAGAGGAGATGACTGCTGAAAGAGCAGATTGGCTGGTGAGTTCACTGTGGTTCCGACCAGAGAGGAAGGCAAGATGCCACCAGGAAAAGAGGAGATGACTGCTGAAAGAGCAGATTGGCTGGTGAGTTCACTGTGGTTCCGACCACCTCTGAATCATTCAGTATCCCAGCATTGCCTGGACTTGGAGAAGTGAAGTCATGCCAATCACTTTTAAAGAAACTCTAGTAGATAACCCAGACAGACAATTCATGAAAATACAACAGAAGATATTATTTTCTAGAGTGGGATGGTGGTGCTTGCTATTCAGGACACTTTTTCAATCTAACCAGAAACCAGATAAATAATCAGAGAGTTGTTCAGCATAGAGGAAGGTGAAATAAAGGATAGTAAAGGATATTTCTTCCAATGCAGGTGACGTCCAGTGAATTATACCTGCTCTACAATAGGGTAACCTATCAGAGGAGTTCTCATGCTCCAGATTCCCAGTCACTCTCCCCAGGGTAGGCTGGAAACTACCAATCTCCAGGAGGTTGACATCTATTTTTATTTTTATTTTTTTCATCTGACCATCCTCCTCTGGTGTATCCATCCTACTTTATTTTTCTTTAACATATTCTGTCCTCCTTTAGACAATGATACAATTCAATCTCAATGGCTCTTGCCTACCAAATTACAGTTACTTTGATTTTGCTTTTGAGCTTTTCTAAATTTTTTAGATTTGTTAAAATCTACAGTTAGTACAACCATCATGGATGCATTTTTCTAGTTCAGAAGGCACATTCATGTTCTTCAAGTTCAAGTTTCAAGTTCAGGGACAGAGAATACCTCTTTGTTAATCATTATATGCTGCCACACCTGCATTGTGATATTCTAATAATTTTTTTGAATCCTTGTGGATGGACTGGATACTGTGCTGGTGTTCTGTGAAGTTCTAACAAAGCCAATTTTTACACAGATGTTAAGGAACTTCCCCCAAACCTTACAGGTATACGAGAGTAAGAGTTGGGTTCCACAGCTGGGTCTTTCTGGCTCTTTTCACTGTGTCCCTCAGCCTCCCATACTTTGTTTTTGAGGTTTTGTTTGAAATTACTAAAATGGGAAATAGCATTAAAAGCAGAAGAAGAGGGGCACCTGGGTGGGTCAGTGGGTTAAAGCCTCTGCCTTTGGCTCAGATCCTGGTCTCAGGGTCCTGGGATCAAGCTCTGCATCGGCTCTCTGCTCAGCAGGGAGCCAGCTTCCCCCTTTCTCTCTGCCTGCCTCTCTGCCTACCTGTGATCTCTCTTTCTGTGTCAAATAAATAAATAAAATCTTAAAAAAAAAAAGGCAAAAGAAGACACTGCTTTACTGTTTTCTTTCCAGTTCTTCCTTGGGAAACTAATGTCATCTAGTCTCTGAACCTTATGTTCATTTTAACTGTGTCCCAGGATTGGGTTAGTATCCATGTCTGCAATAATTAAAATTCAGTGGCAAAGTTATGAAAAGATAAGGAGGAAAGTTGCATATTTCTAAGTGAAATAGACCAATCTGGAAAGGCTACAAACCATATGATTCCAACTATATGACATTCTGGAAAAAAGCAAAATTATGGAGACAGTAAAATGATCAGTGGTTGCGAGGGGCACATACGGAGGAAGGCATGAACAGGCAGAGCACAGAGGATTTTTAGGGCGGTGAAACTGCTCTGTATGATACTATAATGGTGGATGCATGTCATTATGCATCTGTCAAAATCTATGGAATGTACAATACCAAGAGTAGGCCCTAACGTAAACTACAGACTTTCGATGAGAATGATGTAACGATACAGGTTCCTCAACTGTGACAAATTCCAGGGGGGATGTTGGTGAGGTTCTGCATATGTAAGGACAGGAGGTATATGGGAACTCTCTGTACCTTCTGCTCAATTTTGCTGTGAACCCAAAACTGCTCTAAAAATAAAAGTTATTTTTAAAAAGTGCAGTGGAAAGTAGCAAGAGGAAGTGGGTGTTCGTTGGACACAATCCCTGCTCCCTCTTTAAAGGAGATGCAGCACCTCCAGTTACACAATCATTTCTCTACGCTCGTCATCTTCCTTTCTCTTTTTCCACTCAGCCATCCTTGTCCATTTTCCTCACAAAGCTTTAAGCGGAGAGTAAAGCATCTTTGTGTGCCTTTGTGTGTTAATCTGCAATTTTGGGAAAGAAGGGAAATAGGATTAGCGTTTTGTCTGAATAAAGGGAAGAATCAATTTGGTTTCTTCTCTCTTTCCATTGTCCAGATTTCCTTGGAAGAGTTGGAGATGGTGAGGAGGGATTGGAGGGGATAAAAATAAAATTCTTGAAGTAATTGTGAAGTGCTACATTCTTGTCACTTGGTATTTTTCTATCTCATAATATCTGTTATATTTCATAAGCATTAATCATCAAGAACTACAACTCCTGGGAAGGTGCTTTTTTCTTTGCCCCCCAAATAATCCAGTCCTAGAATTTAAAGGCTTTATATGACATTTTGTATGTCAAAGATCGCAGCTTCAAAAATCCATCAAATTGGACAGCTCACACTGTTACTGGAAAGGAACATTCAAATATGTGAACAAGCCTAATGGCCTCTCTTGCCTTTTAAGAATATAAATGGACAGTTCTTCACATGCACAGTGATAAAATTAAATTCGCAGCATGGGGTGGCAAATGGGAAAATAACGACATGAGACACTCAGGGTGCCTGCTCCTTGCACAGTGGGGAGGTGAAGACGCTATGGGAGGCAGAAAGGGAAAAAATAGGCTAGGCCATCTAGACAGTGTTCTCTGGCATGGGAGAGGCGGTTGGGCAGGACTGACAGCTGGGCTACAAGCTGAAAAGGATGGGAGAGTGGGAGGAACAGGCAGGCTTGACTTCAAGCTATTTCGTTTGCATATGGCCACAAGCTGGCTCCCTGTCAATCCACCGCCCGCGCTCACCCTTCCTCATCCTGAGTAAATGTCCATTTTGGAATTTAGTCTGTCAGCCAAAGCCACTGGACATTGAATAGTTGATCTGCTCAGACAGAATTTGTTCCAAGTATAGCAACCAGGAAAAAAAAAAAAGGCAGAGGATGATGTAGGGCTCTGATGATTTTTCCTTTATTGAGATATTATATTTTAGTCTTGGTGGAATGAAACTGATCCATTAGGTCAAGGTAGGTGAAGGACATTCCAGGGCAGACAAGGACGGATTTAAGAAGAGACCTGGAATTTAAATTCATTTAAAATTTGAATTTAAATTTAAATCCCCCCAATTCATTTTAACCTAATCATTTGCTGGTATTTTGTTTGATTGTTTCTGCTGTGGGACCCTGGGGATCACAAGGCATGCTTGCTACCTCCATATTACTGTTTTAACTGTGCATAGCATAGTTTCTTTGCAGTTTAAAACAATAGCTGAAGAAGTAAAAAAAAAAATTGTTCAAACAGGATTTAATGAAATAGCCACCAACACCTGCATTCCATGAGAAGTACTAGAAAATTCTGTGTGTGTGTCTGTGTGTGTGTGCGTGTGTGTGTATTTGCTTTTGGTGAAATGATTGAAGAGGAAGCATGCCAAATAAATGTGGTATTTATGTTGATGGACTGCTTTTTTAAAAAATCCTAATACAGTTAACATACAATGTTATCTTAGTTTCTGGGAGGACAGTTTGTTGAAAGGATAATGACTGTGCACATGTTTGGTAGAAAGCTGTCAACATTTTCACTTGTGGAAATGAGTCCACAGATTTGGACATTTTTAAAA